GTCGGGGTTGCTGGGGTGTCAGCTTGGCCAATCCCCTCACCCACACCTTCCCTCACTTGTTACCTGCCACCTGGTACTGAAGTTAGTGACTCTGGCTTCAGGGCCCGTGGGGTGTGTGGGGTGTGTGGGGTGTGTGGGGTGCACCCTTAGCCTTCGGGAGGCTGGACAAGCTCCACCTCTTCTGACCCTCAGGGTGGGGGTGGGGGGTTGGAGGACCCTCCTGATGTGACCCAGTGGGCGGGCTTGCTGCGGCCAAGCTTGGGGGTCTCAGCTGCCTGGAAGGGAGGAGGGGAAGGAGGCCCAGTGCCTGGTGGGGACAGGCCTGCCACCGCCCTGGCCAACCCGAGCCTCTCCCCGGCCCCCAGCCTGCATGATGAACGTCCACAAGCGCTGCGTGATGAACGTCCCCAGCCTCTGCGGCACGGACCACACGGAGCGCCGCGGCCGCATCTACATCCGGGCGCACATCGAGGGGCCAGTCCTCACCGTCCTCGGTAGGTGGCCGGGTGGGGGGGCTGTTTCCATCACCGATGGGCAGGGCCCCGCAACCCGCCTCTGCTCCTGCCCCACAGCACCTGGGGCTGGAGCTCAGGATACACCCCCCCCCTTCCCACTCTCTCAGCGTCTGTGGAGTGTGCACCTCTGGCTCCCTTAGTAGGACAGCAGGGAAGCGGTGCTGGGCTCTTTCCGTGTTTCCCGTGGGAGGAAGCAGGTCCTGATGAGAAACCCCGGGAGAGCATCGCTCCTGGGGGCGGAGGTGCAGGGACTTCCCGTGTGTTGGAAATATTTCTTTCTGGCACCTGACAGTGGCTTCGCTGGTCCCTGGTGCACATCCTCCGTACCTTTGGTACTTCTGAAATATGTCTAACAGGAAGGAGGGCCGCTCAGCCTGCTGGGGGGGTGCAGTGGGACTGGGGAAGAGAGAGCGAGGTGTCCGTCACTCATGTCATGGGCCGTCCCAGAACCTCTGCCCCCCCAGGAAGCTCGGGCGAGGTGGAGGCCCGCTGTACGGTACGCACTGGTCAGCACGCGGCCACAAGCCGAGGCGAAACCAGCTCTGACCGCCGAGCGTGAGATATTATAGCTAACCAACATAATTAGGGTTTTATCACTTGGTAACTTAGGAAATTGATCACGAAAGGGGCTGATTTTGCAAAAACTGGTCTGTGGGGCCCCAGAATGATTCAGTAGCTCTGATGCGCTGGCCCTTGTAAAATACAATCCCTGTTTTAAGCTGGGGGTCGTGACACCCGGTGCGCACCCACTGAATTGCTTTTTCCTTTAAAAAGAAGCTTTGCAAGTGGCGGACTTCATCCCACCGGGACACTTGGGGATTGTGGACAGGAGTCTGCAGTCACTTGTTCAAAAGTAGCTGGTTTTCCCAGGACTAAGCATGCGGGTGAGGGGGAAAAAGTGAGGCCCTGCTGCCCTCTACTGTCATATTCTAGGAACTACAAGGCTCAAGTATGTGACGGGACCTTTCAGCGGCGCCACTCCCTTTAGGGTGGTCTGCATTGCTGGAGCTCATGAATGCAGGGCTCACACCCCGTCATCACGGTGGCCTACGACCCACCCGTTGTTCCCACTACAAAGAAGAAGTGATAGTTCTGTGACGTGAAGGCTGGCAGCCGTCGTATTGCCATCTACAAGTGTATCAAACCCGCACATTGTACACCTTAAACTTGCACAATGCTGCATGTTGGTTACGTCTCAATTAAAAGGGCTGTCCATGTTCTCTTCCATTGCTCACCACAGCCTTGTGAATACCTATTACGCTCATTTTATGAAGCTCTGAGGCTCAGAAAAGTTATGCTTCCAAGACATGACCCCATTAACAAGAAGAGTAAGAATGATACAATAGCCAACCTCCTAGTTTTTAATGTGTCCGTCACTGTGCAAAGCATCCACAGGCGATATTGTTCCTTTTTTCAGTAACTCTACTGAGCTAAGGAGCAAGGGTATTCTACTGACCGGGCAGCAGGCGGAGAGGTGCCCACACAGGGTCACGTGGGTCTGCTGGACGCTGAAGTGCACTGTACTAGGTCACTGTGTATTCCAGCGCCCTGCACACCCACTGCTGTGGTTTAGTTGCCTCTTATGGGCATTCCTTGGGGAGTCTTTGTTCCAACTAATGCAATACTGTGTTCCTTCAAAGTCAAGGCCAAAGTCTTCCCCTTCGTTCCATGTTTGCTCTGGCAATCCTAGTATATGCCTATGAATATTCATTTCCTACAGCCGCCCCAACAAAATGCCACAAACGGATGGCCTAATAGGACAGATACCTGTTCTCTAAGTGATCTGGAGGCTGGAAGTCTGAATCCAAGGGTCGGCGGGGGAGGCTGGCTCCTTCGGAGGCGCTGAGGGAGTCTGGTCCCTGCCCTTCTCTGCGTTCCGGTGGCTGCCATCAGCCTCTGGTGTTCCCCAGTCTCTCCTGCATCATCTCCTGGTATTCCTCCTGCATGTCTGTGTCAAATTTCCTCCTGTGAGGACACCAGTCGCTGGATTAGGGACCCACCCTTCCTAGGATGACCCATCTTAACTTGGTTACATCTGCCAAGGCCTTATTTCCAAATAAGGTAATATTTACAGGTGCTGCGGTTAGGACTTGAATATATCTTTTGGGGGAACACAAGTGAAACAGGGGAGAAGGGAGGAAAGTTGAGGTTCCTTTAAAGTGAGGGGTAGAGCCCTGGCCAGTGTGGCTCAGTTGGTTGGATGTCATTCCATGCACTGATAGTTCACTGGTTCAATTCCTGGTCAGGGCACATGCCCAGGTTGCAGGTTTGATCCCTGGTCGGGGTGTGTGGAACAGGCAACCGATCGATGTTTCTCTCTCACATCGATGCTTCTCTCTCTCCCTCTCCCTTCCTCTCTCTCTAAAATCAATTATAAAACATGAAAGTGAGGGGCAGAGTATTTTCATGCTCAGAGTTCTGATCACATTAATTGATAGCCACCAGCATTTGTGCCGCGCGGTGGTTGTCTGAGTGCTTTGGTAACGGAGGGAGGGCAGTTGCTCTCACACGGAAGGGGAAACTGAGACTCCGTGAGGCTGAGCAACTCGCCTGGAGTCAGGTGCAGGCCCCGGCCCTGGCCCCGGCCCCGGAAGCAGGTCCCGGTGGTGCCCGGCTGCTGCCCCTTCACCACTCCGGGCACAGCCCTTCCTTGGCACGGGCTCGCTGATGGACTGGTGATGGGAGGACCTCGTGCTTTGACTGAAGTTCTCTAAACATAGAGCCAGGATGAGTTTCTTGTTCAAGTGATTCATCGGGGCTGCTCATGGGGCGAGGAGTGAGCAGAGAGCAGGGAGAGGCGGAGTGGGGGTGTGGACGGGGCGTTAGCCGCGTGAGGAAGTTGGGCCCAGCATCCCCACCGTCAGCCCCTCCTCCGGCAAGAGGGCTGTACTGTGAGGACCGTCAGTCTCCCCAAATTCTGTCTCCCCAAACTCATATGTTGGAGCCCCAACCCCCAGGGAAGTGCTATGTGGAGATGGGCCTTTGGGAGTCCCAAGGGAGGGCTCTCCTGACGGGATGAGTGGCGTTATGAGCGAAGGAGGAGAAAGCTCTCCCTGCCCTGGGAGGGCAGAGCAAGGAGGCAGCCGCTGCCAGCAGGAAGCGGGTTCGCCCCAGGAGCCAATCAGCCTGCACCTCGAACCCAGACTGCCTCCACCGTGGTGAGAAACCAAGGTCTGCTGTTTGCGCCCAGCCCTGGTCAGTCTCCCTGCGGCTGCAGGGCTGGGCTGGGAGGGTGGCTTCTGTGTGGCTGCGGGATTATCGGACATGGAGCAGCTGTGTGCCTCCCCAGCCAGCACGGGGGAGCCAGGCAGGGCCAGGGACGCGGGCTCGCCCAGTGATCCCCCAGCAGCCGGGTTACATGGTGGGGACCCCATGTCCCTCTTCCTTGATCTCAGCCAGACAGACCAGAGAGCTGAAGGCTGAGCGGCCTGCGGAAGTGGCTCCGTGTGAGGACTCCCCACTCCCCAGCCAGGACGCTTTGCCATTTGCTCTGAACACCACACGCACTATGCACACCAGCCCATGAGAGGCCGCACGCACTGTGCACAGCAGCCCATGAGAGGCCACGCGCACTGTGCACAGCAGCCCATGAGAGGCCACGCGCACTGTGCACAGCAGCCCATGAGAGGCCACGCGCACTGTGCACAGCAGCCCATGAGAGGCCACGCGCACTGTGCACAGCAGCCCATGAGAGGCCACGCGCACTGTGCACAGCAGCCCATGAGAGGCCACGCGCACTGTGCACAGCAGCCCATGAGAGGCCACGCGCACTGTGCACAGCAGCCCATGAGAGGCCACGCGCACTGTGCACAGCAGCCCATGAGAGGCCACGCGCACTGTGCACAGCAGCCCATGAGAGGCCACGCGCACTGTGCACAGCAGCCCATGAGAGGCCACGCGCACTGTGCACAGCAGCCCATGAGAGGCCACGCGCACTGTGCACAGCAGCCCATGAGAGGCCACGCGCACTGTGCACAGCAGCCCATGAGAGGCCACGCGCACTGTGCACAGCAGCCCATGAGAGGCCACGCGCACTGTGCACAGCAGCCCATGAGAGGCCACGCGCACTGTGCACAGCAGCCCATGAGAGGCCACGCGCACTGTGCACAGCAGCCCATGAGAGGCCACGCGCACTGTGCACAGCAGCCCATGAGAGGCCACGCGCACTGTGCACAGCAGCCCATGAGAGGCCACGCGCACTGTGCACAGCAGCCCATGAGAGGCCACGCGCACTGTGCACAGCAGCCCATGAGAGGCCACGCGCACTGTGCACAGCAGCCCATGAGAGGCCACGCGCACTGTGCACAGCAGCCCATGAGAGGCCACGCGCACTGTGCACAGCAGCCCATGAGAGGCCACGCGCACTGTGCACAGCAGCCCATGAGAGGCCACGCGCACTGTGCACAGCAGCCCATGAGAGGCCACGCGCACTGTGCACAGCAGCCCATGAGAGGCCACGCGCACTGTGCACAGCAGCCCATGAGAGGCCACGCGCACTGTGCACAGCAGCCCATGAGAGGCCACGCGCACTGTGCACAGCAGCCCATGAGAGGCCACGCGCACTGTGCACAGCAGCCCATGAGAGGCCACGCGCACTGTGCACAGCAGCCCATGAGAGGCCACGCGCACTGTGCACAGCAGCCCATGAGAGGCCACGCGCACTGTGCACAGCAGCCCATGAGAGGCCACGCGCACTGTGCACAGCAGCCCATGAGAGGCCACGCGCACTGTGCACAGCAGCCCATGAGAGGCCACGCGCACTGTGCACAGCAGCCCATGAGAGGCCACGCGCACTGTGCACAGCAGCCCATGAGAGGCCACGCGCACTGTGCACAGCAGCCCATGAGAGGCCACGCGCACTGTGCACAGCAGCCCATGAGAGGCCACGCGCACTGTGCACAGCAGCCCATGAGAGGCCACGCGCACTGTGCACAGCAGCCCATGAGAGGCCACGCGCACTGTGCACAGCAGCCCATGAG